CTTTAGATAGAACTGAGCAATACGTCCATGTCAATATAGCCCAAGGTTTCAGAAAAGGATGAAATATGCCAATGTGTTCAGCAATAGTTCTCGGAAGAGGATGAAATCTTCTAATGTGTTCAGCAATTTCAGCAGGCTACCCCTGGAGGTTTAAGACCCAGCTAAACGTTCGAAATAATCCATACAGTAATACGGGAAAATAAATGTCCATTATTCATAAGATACTAATGAAATTAGACCAACAGAGCCCATACTTTCCCACAAGAGTTACGTTTTTTGAATAATATTACAATCTGTAGTAGAGTAAATAAATTAAGTACTCGTTAAGGGATATTCAATACGTCTGTTCCATAAGTTAACATTTCAATGTCGTCATATATCCGATAATTATAAATATATTACCAACGTCCATTAAGCTGGGAATAGTCGAGATACGGTGTCCGGTGTGGCGTAGGTTGCGGCATTATCGATACAGAACAAAATAGAAGAAGTGAATACACGAGGTACGGGTTTCGGTATATTTTCTACCTACTGATATCGATAATTTCACACCGGACATCGTATTCGCGGCTTCAATATTAAGAGGTCACTAATATTATGAAACTCGCCATTACTACTTCGTTATTGTCTAATATTTTGATGAACTGCCCGTCCCTAAAGACAACGTCATCTACACGTAATGCCGAATGGCTTAACAAACGCTCTCCGGAGAAATGGTATTTTCTGAATATCTATGTAAGATCTACAAGGAAATTGCGGGTATGTCTAGGGAATTCCCCTGACGATTTAAAAACTAATCCATTTTTCTGGAAACGTCTGCAGACATACCCACAGACAATGACACGAATTAACGTTCTTGAATAATCGAAAGAAAATGATTGGTGACGTTGCCTTAGATTGGAACTGAAATAATCTGTTTAATTATTCATGCCTTGTGTCGATATCTAGTACTGTCAAAGAAAAAGAAAAAAGAAACTTGCCATTAAAATCGATATTAAAACCGGTGCTCGGAAAAGTTAATAACAGAAAATTGGTAAAATGATTTGTAATTCTTGTGTAAACAGATATCACATTTTGAAACGTTCCGGTTTCTTTTTGATTCCCAAAGTTCAAAGTAATGTTTTTCTTTGGATATGTTTTTTAATAATGATGTGGCTATGATAATATTTTTTTAATTATTTTACGAATATCAAAGGTGACATTAGTTAATGTTAAAACATTATTTTTGTTCAAAAGATTATTATCAATGAAAAATTATCCGAACGTCTAACGCATCTATATATGTAGACCTTATACTCTTAATGTCTAAAACATAAATTAATTCTACAAGGTTACTGCGGTGTGTGTCGTGAAAATTATTAGGGTACATTCATCCTTCAAAAGTTCAGAAAAATAAGACGTAAAGCTTCATTTAATTATAATTACTCTCTTCCGCAACACATGAAGCTACTTTGGTTAAAGTCAATTATACATGCGTTTCGAAGAGTCCACATAATATATATTTTTGCGTGTATTGAGCTGCAATGGCTGGTGACACCTGATACCACTTTTTATTATGAAATACTTCCTCACTTATGATTGATATACTTCCTCGTGTGAAAAGTTTATTAGCTGCTACCAATATATTGTCAATGTGCTTTGGATTTCGAGTTTAGTTTGTAATATACGTCGACATAAGAAAAGCATTTTATCTGTTTGCGATTTAGGATAATTCGTTATCAGGATCTATTTATCAAAATTCTCAGATCTGCTCCAGATACCACATTTCCCATTGGAATAAATGAGAACCATTTATCAAGTTTGTTGGTAAAGACGTCTTTTATTATTTTGATGGAAGACCATTTTCGTGTCAGTAACAAGATATGAGAACGAGATACCAGATGAAATATGGCTCATTTTGATTCTATTGATACATCTCTAGAAGCCTGTGAACCAACTCAACCAAAGGTTTTAGTTCCATCTTAAGGTAATGTAAAGCAATTGTGTTTTCCGTTCACCTGTGCAACTTTATATCGTCAGTACGACGAATGCTAAAATAGCTTAATACAATTATTAAGCATGTGAACTCTCTGAAAGAGACGCCAAGTTGACGAACATAGTAAAGAGCTGCATTCGTTTTTTCGGAATGCTGGGCATATCTACCTATGTATCAAACCAAGAACAAAACGAGAGGTTAACTCAATCTTTATGACACGATTTTGTTATGAAAGTAAAGGGATAAGTTCAAGTGTAAAAATGGTTTAATGTAGGTCATGGAGATTCGTTATCAACTGTTGTGTTTATAAGCAAGGGTCTACTATGTTGGATCTACCGATGGTTAGTAGCATGGGGTGCCTTTGTTCCTTGTAGCCACTGTGTTCAGTTCATGACAGATGCATAAGTCCTTCAAAACCTAAAGTCAAATGTCTTCATTACGATCCAATAAAAATTCCGCACACAAAGAAAATTTTTAGTCTGGAAAATTGTTTTTGCTGTTTAAAGGATCAAAGTTTAAAAATATTCAATATTCTTGTCAAGCAGCTCACACTTTCACAGAATAAATTAAGCAATGATATAGATATTGCTGGCGTTCATTAGGAATATAATGTACAAAACATTACCACAACAAATGAAGTCTTACACACACAGAGAATTTAAAAAAAAAAATAGCTGATGTATGAGGAAAGGTCAAATCGTGCCTAGGTACTATAATGGATTTCATGATCTTATATTCTTGTAAATCCCCAAGGAAAGTCAAGTCAAATGTATTTTTGTTTTTGTACGTTTAAAAGATATATACGGATGTATTTGTACTTTAACAAATTCGTTTACAACCAGGAGATGTAACCAGGAGTAATAAAAACACCTGTGGTATATATTGGATGTAGTGAATCGTCTCAGTCATGATTCTGTTAGAAATAAGACATTGGACATATATGTGGTACTACGATACGAATATTATGGTCACTTTACTACGAAACCAATAATTATGATTGCACAATGTGTTCGTCTGTTTAGTGTTTATACTCTACATTAAAATATATTCCGTTCTATCAGAATTTCCAGTTAATAAATTATCTGTGATATATGCTGGATGGATCATCCGTCAAATGTCAGGTGAATTTCATACGATGGACAAAAAAGGAATCACTTGGTTTGGGCTCTAAAGAATAATCAAGATTTTACGATATGTTCGTCTCTTTTGCACTACATTAAAAATACATTATATTTCGTTGTATCAGATTATCAGTTGGCATATTCCAACTTAACAAATAACATTAATATGTTGAGAAAGTCTGGAGTTCGTTTGACAAACTAATTGAAACTTCAGACCAATTTGACAATACAAACTTTCACTGACGTTTATCTAGTATTCCTTTACATCCCACAAATATTTAAAATCCGAAAGTTATAGCCATAGAGACTTCAAAGTCTTCATAAAATCTAAATGTAATATTTATGTATGTGTCGAGACCATTGATTGGCCAATATTTATGTAAATTACCACTTTCCTTTAACTGAAGTAAATGAGATATTGATTGGTTTACGTGTAGACTTAATCAAACAACCATTCGTTTATACATTCATCTGCTGACTAGGATTAATGCAGGAGTCCATCTGGATCCAGATTGATATAATAAAACCCACAAGAAACAGCAAATAAATTTCAATAAAGAATTAAGATTTGTGAAGTTATTTTTTGTGCATTTCTTGCCAGATTCTATTTCAAATTTTCAAAATGAAGAAGGTGATAATTGGAAATACATAATACCACATGAGCAATATCGACTATAAAGACTGTCCAAAAATAATGGAGACACCATAATTATATTAACACGTATGTTGTTGTTTCGAGGAAAACTTGATCAAACTTTATCCCTACCCTTTGAAAAATAAAGTTTGTAAACAAACTAATTGAAATTTCTTTTCTTAAATATGTCGGGATTTTGTAGAATGTCAGAGTTCTCAGACGTAGGAATTCACACGGTACGTTGTGCTTAACTTACTAGACTCGAGTAAGTAAATATTTGTGTCCATCGTTTCTTTATTGTGTTATTGATAAGGAATACTACATTAAATATAAGATAAATGGAAGAATAATAATATCTTCAGTCCTATATATCGCCAAATGTGACCACAGAATAGAATTGTTACTTAGGAAAGCAAGAACAAAGTAGCATTAAGAGTTAATGTAGGCAATATCATGCTTAACCATATACAGTTGTAAAGAGGTCGGGATCCAATTAATCGAAACAATTATTCGTTAATGGTTTATCTTAGTTTGGGTTCAGCCATATCAACACACAGGGGTGCTCTGATTGACAGTCAAATGAATTCGCTTTTAATGACTATCGACCATTCTGTGTACTTTTGGGAATTCCAGTCCAAGATTGCTTATGATTCCAATAATTGTTCCTCTGATTGCGACAGGCTAACAAATAGACACACGTCGTTATTTTTTTTTATTCAAATGCAGTAGTTAAGTTCCGAAGTTATTCGTTTAATTTTGAATATGGGTAAATTAGAAATATTAAAATAGAACCTGAGACATTAATAGGCTCATGCTTTAAGATCTGCAGATAACTAACCTATTTCAGCCTATGTCCTTACTGAAGTATTTGATAATTCTAGTTTCGATAATCCGGGCTTTGGTTACAGTAAAGTTCATATGTTATTGTTTAATGGATTTTAGCCACTTTTCAATAATATTAACACCCGACCCTTCTTCTAGTAGTTTTAAGAGAGAGTTTAAAATGGAGGTTTTGAATGAAGGTAGAGATTAAATTTGGGTTTATATTTTGAAACAAGATTGTATTTGAGATCAAGGAGTAATTTCTCGAGCCCTTCGTACATGTATCAGCCTGTCCTCGGTGGTTTTTAATACCCGATCAAAATTTAAATTGAGTCACAGTACTTCCAGAGAGTTGTACTTTGTTGTTTTGCTATGATACCATTGTGTCAAAAAGTTATATTATAGCATTACCATTCTACAAGTTGCTGACATTAAGTATGTTACTTACATGCATTACTAACAGCAAAACTGTCAGTGACGTCTAATTCTTTGGTTATGTTTTCCAGTCGGTAGCGATGAGCTCCAGAATAAGCCCGGTTAAAACTCTGTACCTCATGTCGAAATGCTGTGTGAACTTGGCCTGAGTTACGGTCGAATATGGCGCCTGAAAAGAAAACAAACTTTAGGTTACCATTCCACTAATAATTTCATTACAGAATATAATGTTAGGTATTAATGCGTAGACACCTGATACCACTTTTCATTCTGAAATTCGGACTCACTTATGATTGATGGACTTCCTCGTGGAAAAAGTTCATTTGCTGCTATCAATGTTTTGATTGTTTTTAATTTCGGGCTTTCGTTAAGAGATTTGGATAGTTGGTACTTGGTTTATTAATTTATACGAATAAAACGAAATGGATGGTTACGTACTACTCACAACGGTAGTCGAAATTATTGAGCGAAAATTTAAACTGTACAATGATCTGGAGAGATTTGAGTAACGCAACCACTTCAAAATTGATATAATAAAAGTTTATCTAAGTACGTTTCCTTTCTTGTATTAAGGTCTGTAAAAATTGGTCTATTTCCAGAATAGCTCTCAGTGTTATTTGACACTTTCGATGGTAACAATTAGAAACTAAGACAGCTCGATAATGAATTCTTCTCTCGTAGCTTAACAATTCTGTTAAACCCTGGAATGATTAGTTCGGCACCCGAAGATACTGAGTTTGACAGAAGCTTCCAGCCTTGTCGAGCTCGTAATTCCAAATGTCAGCAGGAATATTAAGGTGGATATTTGATAATAGCAAAGTGATTCACCTAAATTTAAGAAATCCAGATGAATGAGCACAGTAGGTCAAAGTAAACTTTCAGAAAAGATATCAAGCTGACAGACATACTCCTTGGAGGAATCCACTGCTTACTTTTACTCTGGATTTTGCAATACTTTGGACGAGATTTTGATTAACGGATTTTCCTACTCTGCTTTTCCAGTGGAACTTGTTCTATTGACAAAGTCCTACCACAGTTTGTTACCAATAAATGACCAGAATACAGATGCATCTTATAAGAAAATATGAGTTACGAATCAATTATTGATATTTAGTAAGACTTTGATGTTTTCTGCATGATATATATTTTTGAACTTTTGTTTACATGATCATGGTTTCATGAAGTTGATAAAGTTTTCAGTCAGATTAGTTCAGTTGTAAATGGCGGATTAAAACTGCCATGTTAGGAGAAGACCATTCCGTGTATTCGTCAATTATAGAGTTAATAGGTGACCCTACTCTTCGTGATGGTTGACACAAATCTTTTCATTTAGGTCGAAGAGTTTTTACAACTGATCAATTTTGTTTTGACATTGAAACGTGCTTGAAAGGCGGTTAACTAAATTGCTTTCGGTTCTCTGAAGTAGATCACCTAAATAGGACCTGAATAGAACTCTGAAGAAGTTTCATAATAAAAAAAGGGAATTCTTGGATTACAGAATTGAGCGTCCCTTTATATTAGGGAAAATTGGTACGTGTAAGTAACAAATCACACATTCGATTCAATCATTGGCCTGCCCACAAAAAAGTTAATTTTGGACAAGTAGAAATAAAATATAACACAACGACCCCATATACTACTCCATACAATGTTCGATATGCATTTATCAAAATGAAAACAGTAATTAACCTACAACAGAACATCTTCAAAATGCGGCTTTTCACTTCAGAACTGGTCCATGACATTTAAAAAGTGAAATTGTCAAGTACACTAAAGGCAGCCACCTCCAGAGACTGCTTTGTCGTGCAGACACAATTCCTCTTCGTGTAAAGATATTTAAAACGACACACAGCGTCTTCACACAGTCGTTAAAATTTTTAAATGATTTAATAAGACACAATTTCTAAATGACAACACAACCGTAAACAATTTGGCTAAAGTTAGGTGATGCCTTTGGCACAGGCAAAGACGGGAAATAAACATATTGAAAAGTAGCTGACGAATAAGTTAATAATTTATTAAGATTAAGATTTCAGATTTTGATGCATATTCCATTTCTTTTGGAGCACACTTAGCAACTTCTTTGTGCAGTGTTAGGCTAACTTCTAGTTTAAATATATTTAAATTCAAAGCGAGATCAATAGAGTCATTGCGTTGGAAGCTGATTTATTTCAATCCCCAATAATAAACGTTAAAAAAAGGTTGGAGGTCTTTTAAATTTCAGTAAACGCTGCAATTTACATTTCGCAGACAAATGTAATAAGTTAGGTTGGACACGACAAACGACCGAGAACTCTTAGAATTAAATCGATATTAGTTGGTCCAGTGAGAAAACGAAAATCCCAGTCCAAATTTTACATTCATCCAGTCGATAGTTGAACGTCTCGAGGGAAATAAGGTTCTCTTAAAAATGCAAACTATTAATGTGATTATTGGAAAAAGAAAACGAAATGTTTATTTGATTATTTGTGATGTTATTTATTAGAAATGTAATTCCCGACCGTGCGTCTTTAATCTGCTTGAAAAGAAAATTATAAAGATATACGTCGCATTTTATCCCATCATTTTTTTAAAAGTTGTTACGAACTGAATTAAAACGCTTCTTAGGATGGTATTGCATATTACTTCGACAGTTACCATGTGATGACCTTTTCTAATTCCCAATGTGGGTATTTTCATAATATAAAAAAATTTCAAAAATGATGATGGTTATCAGTAAGACAAGGTCATCCGAAAGTTAATGATCGGAAAGTAAACCAAAACTGAATCCACTCTAACTAAACTAGACGAACCTAATTGCTTAGACCAATAGTATCCAAATCCAATAATTACTAATAAATAAATAACGACTACCCATTGGGAAACTTGAGTTCCTTTCAGCAGTAGGCCATTTGTAGTCTTGTCAATTGCCAAACAGCTCTCTATGTATTTGTAATATTGATTGTCCTTTGCTCCAGTTTCTACTAACGCTTGAGAAAAGGAAATTTAAAATTTATACTTGATTAGGAAACTCTGTTGAAATCTGAGTATTCGGATATTTGATCAATACATGACTCCGATTTTTAGTAAAATGGTAAGAACTGAAATTTTTGATTATTGGCCCTTAACTTAACACTGTTTCTATTAAATAGTTATGTATATCAAACCAATACGAATTATCCTGATCAAGTGTGATCTTTCAATGTATTTTTTCCAGTAAATCAACTTCGATTTTGGTTAATTGTTAACGATCAACTTGTTAAAATAAAATCAAATGTTGAACCAAACTATTTACACTACGCTATACAGTCAGAGTAATACTAACAGTCATCCCTATCAAGTGTGGCCTGGCGCAGAAAAGTAGGACGTAAAACTTCATTCATTCATTTATTAAGTGTGGCCCTTCAATCAATGTATTCTGATCTGTAGATAATAATTAATCCATCGATCTAAAAAAAAACTTCCGAGCTTTTTGTTATAAACCTGATAACATCAACAAAGAACATGACTGACATAAAAACGTTATCATTGTCGATATCATCAACATAACCTCATATCACCATAAACTCTGAGTAACAACATGATTCAAGTTCTGTTTCATATTTCTAATAATTATTCTATCTATGGTCGTTACAGGCTTTTTGTTATAAACACCAACAAAGAACACGAATGACATAAAAATGGTAGATTATCATCGACGATATCATCAGCATAACACCAGAAAAATCAATTTAAACTATCATATCGTACATCGATCAATCTCCTTCCTAGACTTAATAATTGTTTCCTTTATGCCTGGAAATGTTTATTTGTTGATTTGACGGTTTATCGTCCAAGATATGATGAATGTGTGTACAATTTGGTGTCGGTTATGATGAATTCGTGTACATTTCAAGACGGATATCGACGGTATCTCCTATAACTGCCAGGGGTTAGAATTCTATTAATTGAAAAGTTATGTCACTGACTTGATAATCGTTTCATGTTACATCAGATAGCAATTCAGCTCTTCCATCATTTTTCTTTCTGTACCGGAAATTTATCAATGATAAAACTAAGCTGGGAATTAGAGAAAAACAGATGGTCTTCTAAAACTTCCTCCCTGTTTAAATTCGTGCCATATTTTGCTTCTAAAAAAACGGTTTTACTTTAGGATGTGAAGAGAGACCCGAATTTAGACGATTTTTTTTAATTATATGCAAAGTGCCATTGCTCCTTATATTTGAAATGAAGCATTGCAAATGACTATTTTCCAGCTCTTCTGGTGTATTTTGTTTTATACTGTAACCGATTCCGTATTCATATTTGTTGTCAAGGGTGAAAAATGTTCATGTTTATTCATGTAAATTCATTAAATGGAATTCGTATTTCAACAACTATCACAGGTGGGCCGTTATCTCTTTCGTAGTATGGTTTACTCATAATGCCTCAGAACCTGCTACTGTTCATCTACGCTTCATATTCCTTTCAGTTCCTTATGTCTACCACTCGGATTACAAGTACACTTGTAAAATGTCATCATGTGTTCCGGAAGAATATACAATGTCCGATCTGTTATTATTTCTAATAGATGTGGTCGCATGCTTTAGATAATTTGACGGACCTTTAGAGATACCAGGCAATCCGGTGTATATTTTTTTTAATAGAATTGGTCGCATGCTTAAAATAATTTGGCGGACTTATAGAGATACCAGCATTACAATACAGTGTGGCAAAACGGTGTAAATTTTGCGTGATGTTAGCTGACTGGAATGGAATTCGAGCCGGAAGATAATTTACTACTTGATGGTTCCTAACAATGGCTGTTATTCTACAGACAATTCCAGACCACCCATTATAAGGTTATATTTCGACTTTGGTTTATTTCGCTCAAAGTTACTCTGGAATTAATGTAAATGTACTTTTTTACAAAAACGCGTTGTTGCTCATACTTAATTTGTGTTCATTACCTGCTACCAATGTTTCGCCAATATCTTGTTTAAGATTTCGGGTTTCGTTTTGCGGATCGGATCGTTATTTACATTGTAAAGAAATTATCGACACGTTGCTATACATGATTGGAAGATATTCGCAGCTCAGCTGTTATTGTCACAAAAAAAATCCTAAAGCATATAAAGTTAATTATATAGGGTACAATGTTCTGAATAGGATGTGTCAAGAACTTATTTTTTATTAAGCCGATCCTATGTTC